CTTCCTAAATCCCTACATGTTGCTGGCCCAAGACCGATGACCCCTCCATGTGTCCGGCCTTCGAGCCGTGTTTTTCTACAGGGACCTCGTCAACCGCATGATGCCAACACTCTTGGATACATCGCACACACGCACTTGTCGTGTCATTCCGTTGCACTCACGCCTCGGATGACACTAGCATGAGCCTGTTTACGTTGCATAGAAAAACACCATGTCATGACCTTGGATGCCCAACCATAGCGCACTGCTGCCACTGCTACACGCTCGTGTGAGGCCTAGCCCACCCTTTTGTGACCACCATGAGCTCGAGTACACCGAGAACGCCACATCCTAGCCACGGCCGTGATCGAACTCCTGGAGACCGTACACAACACCTAGACTGCCCCTGTTTAGCTGATGCTAGTGTAACCCTCGCTTTTCCGCATGGGAGGCGTACAGGTCTGCCTTGGACTTGCCTAACCCCCACACACGGACCTAAAGCCTCGCAGTCATGGACACTTGCCCTCACCTTGCCAGTCGAAGACCAAGACAGAGCCTTTTATGGCCGCTCGCCGCACGGGCACGCGCGTGTACTCACACGCAAGCACCGCAGTGGCTTAGCATGAGCCTTGCCGCCACTACAATCGACCACTGCCATTCATGCTCGCACACACACCATCCCAAGAGCTCTAGCCTTGCTTCGCCCCGTCGTTCGTGGACGCACGCCACAAGCCGTGGACTTATGCATGCTCACTTGCATGTGGTGACGCACGGCCATGCCTCCGCATGACATCGCGTGAGCCTCGGGACCACACCGATGCGGCCGTTCGCATGCCCATGCGCAGTCCTACGCTGAGCCGCATATGCGAGCCAACGCCATAGCCACTAGAGCTAAGTCCGTGAACAACAGCCGTCATTCGACCAAGCCTTAGCCACGTCCTGGCCAGCCACAGCCGCGTTTGGCCAACTATAGCAAGATGCAGCCAGCCGCAACTAGCTGTAGCTAGCCACAGCCAGCCAAAGGCAGCCATAGCCAGCCTTGGCCAACCATAGCCACTTGTAGCCAGCCGCAGCCAGCCACAGCGAGCCATAGCAAGCCATAGCTAGCCACAGCAGGCCGAAGCTGGCCTCAGCTGGCCGAAAGAAGCCACAACCCTCTGGGACAAGTTATAACAGCCCTTGGGCCTCCACATCTTCTGTCGTCGTTGTATGGAGTCCGTTCCCGACATTCCGGCTGCCTCGTTAAACGAGGACGAGCCGTTGAGAAACCGTGTGATCCCTAGCATCGTACCGATGACAAGTGGAGTCTTTTCGACATCTTGCTGGCCGAGACCACCGTTGCCGAGACCACATGGCCTCACTGGCTGAGACCACAGGGCCTCGCTGGCTGAGACCACCATGGCCTCGCTTGCTGAGACCACCATGACCCCGTCTACCGCAAGCCGTACCCTCTGGACCATGAACCCTAGTCGTATGTCTTACCGAGACCATGGAAAGCCCCATCTCACATCTTTCCGTATACGCATATCTATCTTGTTGGGCCCTATTCTTACAACCTATCTGTCCATGACTATCTTACAGGAATTCACCTATCACCCAGCTATGGAATGTGCTACTCCATAGTCGTGTCGAGTTGTTGCGTCTTTCGGTCGTGTTTGGTTCTTATCGCTGGTTGTTGGTGTTGTTGCCTGTGTGCCGAGCCTTTGAGCCGGCTGAGGGATCGTACCTCGTTCGGACGTTATGATCGCGGGATCCATCTCGCCATGACCGTGATGCTGAGTGTGACTCGACCCCTCGCCTTTTAGTTGACTTCATAGTACCACGAGTGTTAGCTCCTGCCTTTGGCCCTAGAACATGGTTGTGATGGATTCGATGTCGATACTAACATCGATGCGGATATCACCCGCACGCCTTGAGCCTTCCATGACCAAGTTCTGTGGGAGAAAACCTGGGAGTAAACAATCGTGGAACGATGAATGCCAACTCATAGGCATAGCTTGTGGCCACGAGTTCACCTCGCCATGACCATGAAGCTACACCTCTCTTTCGCTTTTAGTTGCTTCTTCGTGCTCAAGCCCTTGTATGCTTGTACCCCGTTTGACCATCACGTTTCTCTGATTCTCGCGGTGACAACCGCATCGCTTTGAATCCGAGAGATATCTCAGTGCCAGTGCACCCAGGTCGGGTACCCTACGAGTGGCTTACGCACTTGGTGTACTTGAGTGTCGCTCCTTCCGATGCCCCGTCTTTGTCGTGGCATGTGCGTTAGAAGAAGTGGACCTTGCTCTTGGTTGTTCTTGCTCTTATTGCCCTGATAGCCCGCTCTGTTCGATCCCGTCTTGCCCGTGACGATTGGATCAAAGACCGGACTATTCCCTTTTGTTAGCAAGGCTATGGTCTAAGTCGTACCTCGGACCCGTGCGTGTCGACCCGGTCGACCGTCTAAAACCATCTTTCCTGAAGATGTGTCTGAGAACATGACATGGATGTGCCTAGCTAACCCCCGCATCTTTTGCCGTGTTGAGCGACTCTCTTCTCGGCTCCCGATGTTATTGTGTCGTGTGGATCAAGGGGAACCGTTGATGTCCAATCTCTTTGCGCTACCGCTTTCTACCATAGCGGGTGAGCTGAAGTACGCTGGAGCCAAGTTACAATAGTGTTAATCATTCTTGTTTGCTACTCGTGTCCAATTGTGACTTGCGGATAAGGCTATTAAGAGCCGAACCCCATCGTTCTTCTTCTTGGGGCCCGACTTCCAATCCCCATCGATTCAATGACACCAGATCGAAAGATCGTGAGCCGTGGTGTGCTATGGATAAGCTTTGGCTTAAACCATCTATCCTAAAGCCATACTGGCTTGGCCATGACTTAAGCTTGTGCTTAGCAAACCACCATTTGTGATTCTTGGCCTGAGGAAATCAGACAACCGCCGAGAGGGCTAAGCCGTGTATCTCTTATTGCCTCACTGGTGTTATTGGATTTTCCTACGTCTTGTCATCTTTTCAAGTGTTGAGTGCTCTCTTGCCTTGCGTGTCGCTTCGCGGAGAAGCTGACGATCGGACCAAGAGAACGTGGACGACGACAAGGACTGCGGAATGGAGTCAACGCAGGAGGAGGTGACCCGCTAATGGAACACCAATGAATGGAGAATTGTACCACTACTACCTCTACATCGCAGGTGTCATGGCAGCACCCTCTTTTAGAGAATCCTATTAGACATTGCATAAATTCTAGAACTGCTAGCGCTTTATAATTATTCCTTTGCTAGTACTTTGATGCATGCTACTACCTAAGCCATTATTACCCTGATGCAACCCACTCTACCACGTCACCCTGCTTTGCGCATTCGCTCGCTTATATATGCATACTTGCCTGCTTGCTTGCATATTACACCACTATACTTATTATTAACTCCACTTCGCATTATATCGGGGATGTGATGCTGGTGGTGAACCCCCTGGGAATGGTTTGGCTATGGGTGCCGAACTTGGTGGTGTGTGAGCATGCTGCGTGTGTCTTGGGTGCGTGGAGAGTGAGGGTTGTGTCGACCGAGCTGGAATAATGACGAGCCTGGGGCGAGTCTTGCCATGTGGTGCTACCTGGGCACTTGGATATGGAATACCTGTGGCGGGTAAATGGTAATTGGAGGTGGCCTTGGGTGTGAACCTCGGAGAGGTGGAGCCCAGGGTGGAGGTGCTATGGTGGCACGTAAAATGGAAACCCTGATGAAGACATTCTGGCTTGGTCAATCCCTAAGGACTTACTAGTACTCAGATTCACCGGGAATCCTTTACATCCCACTCTCCCTATATGGTGCGGGACGGTCGGACTACTTGGTAGAGCGATGCCACTACTGCTAGGCGAACGTGTGCAAGGAGGTACGGGGTGCGTGGTCCCCCCCCCCACCCTTCTGAGACTTTAGGAGGCCTTGTGGACCGGCTCTTGACATCCGGTGGGCCCCGGCTCTATCTACGACTCATAGTATCAGCCATCCTAGACTAGACTTGGGATGTTCCAGGGCTGAGAGGTAGGGTGGCATCGTTCTAGGCTAGCAAGCGGCCGGAATCTGCCTAGACGGGGCACCGTCGAGGATGGCTATCTTGTGGGTATGTGAAATCTCTGCAGAGTGTATGGTTGATCGATCGATACATATGCTGACTCGTCGGCTATGGACCTTTCCTGGGTTTCGCTTAAACTAGATAGGAGATGAGTCCTTCTATCCTCCCTCCAGGGTTGGGGTATTTTCCGGTCGTGAGCCCTGGGGCTGCGGGCCGTTGAGACAAGGCCGAGAGGGAGTTGGCCTGTCGACCTGAGTGTGTGAGATGAGATAAGGTGTGGTGGTGTGGAGAAGGTTTGGGATGGATGGTTGGTGGATGGATATGGTTGGTGTGGTGGTGAATGTGTTAAAAATTGGATATTATTATTATATTACTATTGTTATTTACTTCTCATGCGCTAAGGATGCAAACCACAGCCAAATATTAGGATCGCCAAATCCCTTGTTTATCTTTTCCACTAAAGCTCATCGGTGCTGACCATGGCCTGCACACATCTGGCGGTGTATAGATTTCCTGCTTCTCAGAGATGCTGACTTTAGAAGGATTAGGAGGTCTCGTGCCTACGCTCAAGTTTGGTTCGGAGATGGAATCTATGCTGCACTACACCAACTCTGATGATGCCCGTGAAGGAGGAGCCTTCACTCGATAGTCTTCCGCTAGATTAACTCTGTAATAGGTGTGTTCCCCAGTGATGTAATATCTTGTATTCTTATAATCTTACGATGTATGACTGTGACATCGACTGAAATATGATAATATGATGGAATCAGTTCTTGGTTTCATCATATTATAATTCATTCTGTGGAATTTTCCCTTCGTGGAAAATTGAGGATGTTTTAGAAAGTTCTCAGGTTCATTGACAATAGGAATATTGACTTCAATAGCTGGGGGGATGTCCAGGACCGGTTCTGTAATTCCCTGCATCAAAGCTAGGCCATCCTGTTCCACCTGATTGTCTTCCTCCTACTCATTCACTTGGTTCAGAATCTCATTAAGGTCAAGAGGCATCCCAACGTGTTGTGGTCCTGCAAACACTGGATCCACAATCATCTCCTGTATATCTGGCTGCATATTGAGGTCCAGCTCTTGAGGACCCTCAACATTATCATTTAGGTTAAAATTGGGGATATTTTGGATATTGTTAGGCCAGCCATCCCAGTCACCAACAGTTGCATTATCATTCACTGGATTGTTCTGTCCACCAAAACATCCAGGAACCACATTGGGGCCTATCTGAAGATTGGGTTGAGCTGCAGGACCCGATCCATTCTGACCAAAACCAAAAAGATCAAAAGGACCACCAAGGGGAAAGCATCAGGTCCAGGAGCAGGGTCCTCATCCTGTGGCAGCACACCAAGCAAATTACCCTGCAGTACCTCACACTTCACTGTCCATGACTCGCCCTGGAAGCCTTCTCCTTCAGTGAGAACTAGGAACTGAGGAATGGTCTCAAAATCAACAACTCTTGCTTGCACCAAGAGCCTTGATAAGTGTCTACCATCATCAACCCACTAAAGCACTCTACCAAAAGTACTGATGGTATTGGCAACAAACTCATCCTCCCTTAAATCTGGCGAAAATCCCATCAGCAACAACCAACACTCCTTGTTGAAGTTGATTGTGTGCCAGTTTCTACCCTTGTTATGCTCCACAAAAATGATCATGACATCACCAAAAATATAAGCACCATGCTGAATCAGACGATCTCTATCAAAGGCATTTCTAAACCTAACGTAAGCCTGACCAAGGTGGGTGGGTTGCATATCAGTGAAGACAGCATTCTGCTCGTTGGTCAAGAAATCTATCACTACTGCTCGGATGGCTTGGAAAGTTAGCTGATGCGCCGGCATCGGGTGGATGGTGACGATGGCCAAGTCTTGATTCTTGGCACGATGATGCATCAAAACCACTCTCTCCATTGGCTTCTGATGGCCAACCTCCAGATGATTGAGCCCACGAGGGACAAACAGCGTTGGGTCGACATGGTTTTCTAATATATGTATATAGAAAGGGTGGTGGTCTTATACGAGTAGAAAACCTTCCTAAAACAGGATATACAAAAATTTTCTATGAGACCAGAAGAGTTTTGATCGAATTTCAGTTTCAAAAACCACCCTAGGCGGGTTTGCACAGCACATTGCGGCGACTACCGGACTCATGCAAAACTTGTCTGGGCCGGTTGACTTCGGCCACTAGAAACCAGACTTTTCCCACGTTGGTCCAATTTATTCCAAATTGGCTCAAATTTTACCATTTTCTCTTGTATTTGATTCTCAAATATGGAAATGCAAAGTCCACTGACTGCTTTGCTGCCAATAGTATTCTACGACACAGGCTTCCGGAGCATGGTCTTGCTAGGTTGTTAGGCATGGTTCTTTACCTGCTGATGATACACCCTTTTTTCTGTAGCTGCTGATTATACTATATATATTGATCCTTCTCCAAGTCTGGTCTAACAAATGACTCTCCAAATGATGATTTGCACCTATAAATTTGCAGCAGCGCCTATAAATTTGCACCTGGTCGATCGAGGTCGACCACCAGTCCACCACCACATGCATATGATTGGCAAGGGGCAAGAAACAGATCGAGCTGTCGCTGCCTACTGCCCTGGTACGTCGTCTTCTGGACTCTGGAGCCAGGGGGCTGGGCTTGCAGTTCCTTTTCCTTTCATTCCCAGTTTTGTCTTTAATTTCTCTTATTAGTTCCCTCTCATCTGTCCACACTGAACTTTATGTGGCATGAACGAATTAAGATTGGTTGAGATTGGATGGCTCAGATAGGAAAAAGATTATTGTTATACCTGGTCAAGTTGACCTAATTAGCCATAGAAAATTTAATGCATACTGTTTGATTTTAGCTACTTGTTGGAAAACTCTGAGCACTAGCTGTGTTAATTATTATTATTATTATTATTATTATTATTATTATTATTATTATTATTATTATTATTATTATTATTATTATTATTATTATTATTACTACTACTACTACTACTACTACTACTACTACTACTACTACTATTATTATTATTATTATTATTATTATTATTATTATTTATCATCATCATCTAATTGTATGATTACCGTCCTGTTAATCACTTACTTTGAGTTAATAAAAAATGTTCCTGGTACTCTTCAACTGAAAAAAAAACAATGGAAAGTTGACTTATCACTAACCATGAAAGCGGCACTAATTGTGGAGTGAGTGTTGTATTTAGACAGTGCCACTCGTGTATTGTGGAGTGATGGTTGTAGCTAAACAATAATTGATACTTATGCCTTTTTTCTCTTTGTTTCATACCTCTTACTAATAAAAAATATTTATATTAAATTGTACTTTTTCTCTTTGTTCATTTTAACATAAGAGGCACAATAGACACTTTGCAGTGTTTATACGATTGTAAACTTATAATCAATTATTTATCTATATGCTTTTTATTTATATCCACAGTTTTTTACAGAATATCTTTGTGTATATTTAATATGCATTTAGTTCAAACCTTAGCTTCAATTATGGTTGCTCTTGTTGTAGTTCATATATTATGATGCCGTAAATCTAAATTTTAATTTCCCAAAATTTATCTTACTAATTTATACTTTGATATAGTTTTTTATCCTTTTGTGCTTTTTAGAAAACAATAAGGACTTGAGATCGTAACTTGTAATCTTAAGTACTACGATGGCATAAACAATTGTTTAAAAGTGACGTAATGTTGCTTAAGATCGGTGGTATAGGTTGAAGTGAGATCTAGGATGGGTAAAGATGCTAACCTCAATAGGATATTAATATTTAAGCTTTATAATAATTGTTTATCCAAATGAATCCCAAAGTCTAGGAAGATATGGCCACCTGTGGGCTGTACTAACCTTCCCCATCTAATTTTTTTGTCAACGAATATGTGCAATAACAGTTATACTATCAATCAATATAGATGTGCCAAACATTTTTTATTAAAATGTGTAAATATATCTAAAGTAACAACTTATATAAACTATATGTCATGGCTATTAGTATAGTGTTAAATAATTTGTTATTATCATTAGTATATGAAATATTAAGCAAATATTTTTCATGATCGTTGAAACATAACATATATATTTATCACTCATGCATGCATGTGTTCATGATTTGAATGATGGTAGAACATGTATGATTATTTAGTCAAATTTTAATATATTAATGCCAATATAAGTGGGTAATGTACAAATATATATGTTTTACGTTTATTTAAACATTTGTTGTAATAGAAGATTTTGATGATTTAGATGTAGATTGGAGGGGACAATTTAGTTTTTTTATAATGACATAAGTAGTAATTTAGATAGAAATTTAAGGAGCTATGTAGATTATCTATCATAATAGCAAGTGGGTAATTACATGCAAATTTTGGGGTTTATGTAGATTATTTATCGTAATAGTAGATTGATACTTAGTTATCTATCATGTTTCTTAATGGCATATGTGGGTAATTTAAATATGGATGCATGGGTTACTTTATATTTTTTACACAGTCATAGAGGTTTTGTAATTGTTTACAATTTTCTAGTTGTTGCAATTTTCTATCCATGTGTTAAGTTGAAACACTATTACTTATGTATCCTTTATTCAAATTTTATTTTATTTATTTTAAGAAAATATTCTATGCTCAAGTGTACCCGGCTCTTACAATGTCTCAAATAGTCGTTTTACCTTGCACCATGAAACTAAAGATGTTGAATTTTTTTATATCAAAACATTAGGTATGTAGTAGTATTGTTTTATAAATCATATAGTATTTAATTAGATTGCTAATATTGATATAACATAATGTTTCTTCAATATGTATAAACTTATTTAAGACAACTTAGGAAATTTATTACCATGGAGTATTGATATGACTTAAAGTTGTTAGTCATTGCTATGTGTTTTCTTAAGTATTTTTTCCATAAGATAAGATATTTAAATAAATATTTATTTAATGCGTACATATTTCCTTGACTAATAATTTTATGTTTACTTTTAACGTAAATACATAGAAAGTGTGTAATTTAAAAATATACATAACATACTTTACGGGTGTTGAAATATTTTTGTAATAGGTTATATTAGCATTTACCTCTAGATTTGAGAATTTTTTGTTATTTTTTATAATGGCTAAGGTGGATAATTTACATATGAACTAAAAGGTGTTACTTTCAAATATCTTTCATAATTGCATATATTGGTAATTTGAATGCAAACTTAGGCATTACTTTGTATCATCTTTCATAATAGCATATGTGGGTAATTCATAAAAAATACGACAATGATATTTGAAATTATCTTTCATAATAGAAGAGTTGGTTAATTTAGATATAAACCTAGAGGGTTATTATGATTAATCTTTTACTAATAGCAAATGTGGGTAATTTACATGCAAATTTTGGGGTTGGTTTGAAAATTCTTTCATAGTGGCATATGTAGGTAATTTAGATACAAATTTATGGGGTTATTTCGAATTATAATGGAAGAAGTGGATAATCTAGATATAAAATTAGTGGGTTACTTTGTGTGCAGTGGGTAATTTTTAATAAAACATAATAGATCCAATGTCTATTGTTAGCACTGATGTTTAGAGATACTAAATTAAAGGCTAGATATTTATGATTATTGTGCTAATTTCTAGGATTTAATTATCTTTTTTTTAAGAATTAACATGGAGCCTCCATTAGAGCATTAGTAATAGTAAGATGTTTTGTATGGCTAAGAATAAGCTTTTGAATACTATTTTGTTGACGAAAATATTTGGAATACTATAGCACTATGCCTTCCCAAACACATCTAATAAATAAATTGCACTACGAACAAAGGGTATATATCTTCCCCAATGTTGTGCTAGTCTTCTACACTGTATATAGTCTTGTCAAGGGCTTTTTAATTACTTAATTTTGAGTGTATATTCTTGTAGTACACTAAATAAGTCTTTTGTTTTTTCAAATTCCAATAGTGGTTACTCACTTGATGTGTTATCAAGCAGGAGTGGTACAATTGGTAGTACCTTTGAGTGGATCATATACTTGAGGTACAAAATGTTTTCGTCAAAACCTACCCAATTCTCCAATTCTTGCAACACAACCCGGCAGAGTTCCCTAGCAAGGATGTCAGCACAAATAACCCTTGATGCTGAATTTGGCACAAAATATGAAGATTCTGGTGATTCCTTTGATTACCCCATGTTGTTAGAGGGGACCACTTCAAATCTACAGCAGGAGCGTTCAGAGGAGGATACAGCCTACTTGCAGCCATTTGGTTGCTTGTTGGTGCTTGATGTAATGAGCCTCAATGTCATTGCATTCAGTGAAAATGCACCCGAGATGCTTAAAACAATCAGCCATGCAGAGCCAAGTATCTATGAATCCCCAATGTTGTCCATTGGGACGAATGCATTGTCACTTTTCGTGGAATATAGTGCCACATCACTACACAAGGTACTAAGGTCTGCTGCTGTTTCTTCTTTGAATCCAGTCCTAGTTGAATGCAGATCATCGGGCAAGCTATTTTATGCCATTGCCCATAAGGTGACTGGTACTGGTTGTCTAGTGGTTGATCTTGAGCCAGTGAAGCCTTCTGAAATTTCTACTGCTGTTGCATGGGCTTTGCCGCAGTCTTACATGCTTGCGGCGCCGGCAGTATCAAAGATCCGGTCAGTGCCAGGTGGGGTCTTGTGCAATACTTTGGTACAAGAAATCTTTGACTTAGTGGGATATGATAGAGTCATGGCTTACAAGTTCCATGAAGATTATCATGGTGAGATCATTGCTGAGGTTAGAGAACCTGGTCTTGAACCATTTATTGGCCTACACTATCCAGCCACTGATATCCCTCAAGCCGCCAGGATTCTTTTCATGAAGCACCAAGTTCAAATGTTATGTGACTGCTCTATGAGGCCAGTGAAGAT